AAAAAAAAAGAGGGGAAAGGAACTATGTGTAGGCCAGTTAAAGCCTTGCCTTCTGCTTCTTGATTTCAGTTGTGAAAAACTCTGCCCTCCAGTTTATTTTCCTGTAGGTTTTTTTTTCCCTATCATTTTCTCATTACAAAGTAATACAGAAAATGTAGAAAAAAAAACTGAAAAGGAGAAAATTTAAAAAAAAAAAACAACAACTGTTTTCTTAACTTTTTTAAGAGGGATTTTTGCTATATGGCATGTACGCTTGCCAGAGAGATGAAGAGATAGAAAGCGAGAAATCAGCCCCCCAGGGAATGGCCACACCATAATCTCTTCTCCATTCTCCTCTTGGGACTTTGGGTACACGTGCACATGTGTCTGGCATGAGTTTTGAGCTGCTGGTTTGGGGACTTGACCCACAGTAGACTAGGTGGGAGTCTAGCGATGTAACCATTATGCCATCTGCAGGTCCCATATCGTTCTAGTATTTCTAATATGCACGTGTATGTGATTTTTAAAAATAAAAGTAGAATTATGTTATTTAAAAAGAATGAGCTTTGGATTCATGTAAAACTAGGTTTCTATCCTTGCTCCATTTCTTACCAGTTTTATGATTCTGTGCTAGTTGTTAACCTTTTTGAACTTGTCTTAACTCATTCATGCAAAATTTTGTTCTTCAAATATTTGTTGAGCACTTAACGTACTGTTGTAGGCCTTGAGGATAAAGCATTGAACAGAGCAAAACCCCTTTGTTCAGTAGCTTATGTTCTAGTTGGAGGAGAAGCCTCGTTTAGAAGGCTGTTAGAATTGTCCAGGGAATATGGAAGTATTGAAGAGTGGAATACAATTCTGGATATATTTGCAAAATAGAGCTCCAACGTTTGCTAATAGATTGGTCTGTGAGAGAAAGAAGAGTCGTGATGATAACTAGGTTTTTGGCCTAACTGTTAAGAAAAAGTTGGTGGACAGTACTGGAGGGCATATTCCAAGTAACAGTCAAGTGTTAATTAGACATGTTATGCTGAGGTATCTGTTTGACATCTAAAGAGAATTGTGGAACAGTAAAGATTATTCTAGGGCTTAAGGGGGGAAGTCAGAATTATAAATTTGTGATTTCACTAGAATATAGGTCGGTAACTTACCCATGGCTTTTTCACATGTTTTAAGTTTTGAGATAAGATAATCAATGGAAAAGGAGGCATGACGGATCAGGGCACTAAATAATTTTGGAATTTGGTTAGTGAGGAGAGTTTAATAGGGAGTCTGGGAAAAGAGGCACATGGAGGAGTTCTGGAAGCCAAGTGAAGAGAGTGTTTTAAAAAATAGGATGTGAAGGCCAGCCCATGATTTGATGGTTAAGGTGGGTGGATCCTGCATGACTGACTGTATGGTTTGAGTCCCAGATCTGGCAGCTTGAGAAAAACTCTGGACACATGTTTCTCTCTCCCAAAAGAAGAGAAAAATGGAAAAGAAATTGTGGCAGGACCATTTCTCTGAGGGTACTATCTTACTTTCCCTCTTGCTCTGTCACTCTTTCTAGGACCGCACATGCCCACTGGCAAGGAAAAAAAAAGAAGAAAAAGAAAAAGTCAAACTTTATTACTGTTCAGTGCTATCACTAAGTTAAATAAAATGAGAACCGAGAAATGACCCCTAGATTTAACAACACAGAAAGCCCAGGTGACCTTGGGAAAGAGGGTTTTTACTAATGTCATAAGGCTAAAAGATAGATTGGAATAAATTCTGGAGTGGGTCAGTGCCACGACCAGCTCGGCATGAACACGTTTTTCTGAACAGAGAAGGCTGTGGATTAGAAATAGACGCAATAACAGACAAACAAAGACACACAAGTATAGAAGAGAGAAGATTGGGTGGGCACAGCTTCTCTGATGGAGAAGTTGCAGCCTTCAGGTTTATTCTTTTAAGGGACAGAAAATGGGGGAGAAGGAAGTGGAATGCAAAGCCAGTTGTTTTTTAATGTTAATCATCTGAAGATGTGAAAATGATGGGCACCATATAATTTTTCTGATCTTTTTGGGGGCACAATCTGGTAAACACATATGACTTCCTTTAGCCCTGATACTGAGCAGTATCAAGGTATTGGGTATCAACAACAACAAAAGCCATTGACAGCAGGCAAATACTGCTTTTGTATGTAAATGCTTCTCAGTAGCCCTACTAGAGTAGCTTACAAAAGCATGTTTCTGCGTGTGTCTCAAGGTCACATGTTTTCAGACTGGCTGTTCTCCACAGGTCAAGTTCGAATGTACTTCCCTGGTGAATGATATTACTTGGGAGATTTGCTATGAAAGAGAAAAAAGCAGTGAAGCTATAGCTGAAAGAAGATATCATTAGCATTATTATTGATCATACAAATGTTTTTATTACTAGCTTCTTTTTTAAAATAGTTTTTAATTGCCAGAGTGTATAAATGTCTGGGGGGGAGGAGAAAGAAAGCACCCCCAAGTAGGGCATAGTCACGCCATAATCCCTTTATCTCCATTTCTCTATCCAGTCATTATTTTGGGCATGCCCCCAGCATGTTTTTCTTTTTTAGGTTTTTGCCATAGGGTGCACACATGCTCTGGAGAGAGAGAGAGAGCGGGAAAATGAGAAATCATCCTCCAGAGGGGATGGCCACACTGCATTCCCTTCTCCATTCTCCTCTTGGGATTTTAGGCATGCACACACATGCACCCAGAGTGATTTTCAAGCCACCAGGTCTGGGATTTAAACCACAATCAGCCATGTTGGAGTCGAGCACCTTAACGCCCCTGCCAACATGCTTTTCAAGACACCAGGGCTGAGGTCAGGATTTCAACCTTGGTTGGTCATATGGGATCTGGTCCCCAATGCACTGTGCTTAAATACTCTGCTAAAGGCTGGCCCATAATAACTTTATTTTAAGAAGAAAAAGATATATATGGCATTCTAGCTCACTAATTAAGAATTAGGATTTGGGGGACTAGCAGATGACGTAGTGATTATATCTCTAGACTCCCACATGGCTGACCATGGTTTGAGTCCAGGACCTGGTGGCTTGAAAATCAAGCTGGGTGTGTGTACGTACGTGTGTAAGATCCCAGGAAGAGAATAGAGGAGAAGGGATTGTGGTGTGGCCATCCCCCCTAGGGGATGTATCTGTAAGTATCTCACTGTATCTGTCTCTGTCTCTCTAGCCAGCGCACACACCTGAAGGCAAAATCCTCTTTTAAAAAAAAAGAAAGAAAAGAATTAGGATTTGGAAGCAGAAAGCCAAGATTTAAATTTGACTCAACTGTTACATGGTTATGTTACTGGAAGGGAAAAAAACAAAAAACAGAATTGTTCATTTAATTTTATTTATTCATTTATTTATTTTAATTTGATCAAAGAGAGACACGGGGGTGGGGAGAGTGAGAAAGCAAGCCACCAGGTCCGGGACTCGAACCATGTTTGGCCATGTGAGAATGTCCAGCGCCTTAACCACCATGCTACCTGCTGGTCTCGAAAAGTCCTATAATGTATCTTAAGGATTACATTAGATCTTGCTTTTAAAGTGCATAATATTCAACTGTTGTACATTTTGGTACCTCTCTGTGTCTCGGAAGTAAAAGGTCTTTGGTCATTTAAACAGTGGATGAACAGTCTCCATACCACTAACATGTAGATTTTTGTTTAATCTAATAGTAATTTATATATATAAACTTATTTTCCTTTTTTCTTATTAATCCAGGGTAAAAGATTAAGAAAAAAATTAGCTTAAGATTGCCGAAAGCAGTTTTGGAGGGTTTGGTACCTCTAAAACTGTTGTGGGTGGTAGACGAGAGAGGATTATCCTCATCCAGCAGGAGGTGGTAGTTCAGCATTCACACAAAAGGATACTCCCATTCCTACTGACATGTTTTGATTTTCCTGGACTGAATTTGTGGGCATTAAGTGCTCAATCTAAAAACATTTTATGTTGGTCGTGGGTTAGTTGTTTCATTAAATAGACAAGTTGCTTATTGTCTTCAGTTAGGCTTTGTTTTTATTGGTTGTCTAAAACAGAGCCGATACATTTTTAAGCTGCCAAAAATAAATGTAATAGATGGTGTCCTAGGGCTACAACTAGACTTGCTGGGCTCTGATCAAACACTTTACCTTTGGCAGACTTTAATACCTGCTAAATTATCATGGTTGGCTTGTTTACTTAAGTTCTTAGAAGTTCTATTAATACATAGCAAAAACTTTAGGTGGATTCATTTCAGCATAATTCTTTGACTAAGGCTGTAGAATGGTTTATATATTATTTGAGTCCTGAAAAACAGTCTAAAGAATAACAAAAAGGGTAGATATTTTATATTTTAGTTATTCCTAAATCTAATTTTCAGAGTTAATGGTCCTAATTGAATGAAGTAAAATAACTTTTTGGCTTACTACCTGTAAATTACAGCAAAGACTGTGTAATTAAGTTAATTTAGAAAAAACCCAAATTCTTTTTTTTTTTTTTTGAGAGGTTTTTGCTATAGGGCACATGTACTCACCAGAAAGACAGAGAGAGACAGAGACAGAAAGTGAGAAATCACCCCCCACGGGGGGGATGGCCATTGCGTAGTACCTTCTCTTCCATTCTCCTCTCGAGATCTTGGGCATGCATGCATATGTGCCCAGCGTGAGTTTAAACCCTTGGGTCCAGGACTTGAACCACGGTCGACTACGTGGGAGTCCAGTGCCACAGCCAATTAATTGCTGGTCCTAAAAAGGCCCAAATTCTATAACCTATGGAACATGGTCAATGCCTGAGCTGTGTATAGCTGCCATTTGCACATCTGAATACTCTTGGGCGACTAGCTTCTCTGCCTGTAAAAATTAAAGTCAAGGTGAAATTTTTCAGGTTTCCTACAATAGTTTTTCGGGAAGATTAAGGAAATGATCAGAAATTATTTACTTTTCACTAATAGGTAAGGAAGTGGAGAATAGTTTTCCTTTTACGAGGGGAGGTTTTTGGGAGAACACGGTTTCAATCTTAGTTCTTTCCTCTTCTGTTTTAGAGTCTGACAAGGAGGAAAAACCACAACACACAGTTGTACCCAAGGAAGTGACACCAGCCCTGTGCTCACTTATGAGCAGCTATGGCAGTCTTTCAGGGTCAGAGAGTGAGCCAGAAGGTAAGTCATGGTGTCTGTTGTTACCCTGACGTGTATTTTGTGTTGTTGCGTTTTTGCCTTGGGTGTATACTGCACATTATTAGTATCCAGGATTGTACATTCTTGATTTGATCTTGAAATCCTTTTTTGATTCATAAGTTAACTTGGGATAAAAGAAAGCTGGAGTAATGGAGAAGTTGTAACTCTGAGAGAAGACAAAGGTAATACAACATGAAAGAATAAAAAGGGGAAGAGAAAATGCCGCTAATTGAATTAAAGAAAATTTTAAAAAAGAATAGCAAAATTATGAAAATTTCTTCTCTTTGATCTCAAGAACCCTTGTTGTATGTTTATAGCACTTTTGGAAGATGGAGAGAAGTCCTTTATGACAAAGAGGGTGGTAACATTTTAAAAATATATTTAGGGCATTGTTCTTGTAGAACCCATTTACATAAATTATCTCATTTGGAAAATATAACAATCCTGTATTTGTGATTGCATTAGCCTAAGTGTTTTAAAGGTTGGAAGAAATAGAACTCTTTCAGGAGTCTTACTAAGAGTCGATCATGCTGAGGATACATGTCTTTAAAGATGTCACAGATGATGATATGTGGGGCTTTATTGTGAAAATTACTATGATTAGCAGTTTAATCTCTTACAGAATGTCAGAGCCATATGAAAAAGCCATGAGTAGGCTATTAATCTAATACAGCGTGCATTTCTTCTTCTTGTTGTTATTTTGTTTTATTTTATTTTATTTTGTTTTTTGTCAAGGCACAAGTGCTTGCCAGAGAGAGACAGAGAGAAGGAAAGTGAAAAATCACCCCCACGCAGGGGGTATGGCCATACTGCAATCCCTTCTCCATTTCTCAGGATTTAGAGTACACTTGCATGTACGCATACATGCCCAGAGTGATTTTCAAGTTGCTGGGTCCAGGACTCAAACTGCAGCTGGCCATGTGGGAGTCTGGGGTCTTAACCACCATGTCACTTGCTGGACCCCAGAGTGCCTGTCTTAATCCAAAATTTATATCAATTATCAGCATATACTGTGTGAATAAAGCTATGTCCTACTATTATGGTAACCAGGCTCTGCACAGTAGTTTTATTTAGGCTTTATCAACTATGAGGAAATTTATGTGTATATATATTAAGATAGGATATTTGTAATGAGGGACTGAATGGTGGCTCAGTGGTAAGACATGATGCTGTATGAGGCTAACCATCTGGGGGCGTTCCAAGTTCATGTCCAGGGACTTCCCTGAAAGCACTATCACATGCTTGCCCATGGTCTGGCCTGGGTGAAGCTGGGGGTAGACTGAGGCATCAAGACACTATTGAGGGTATTCTCTCTCTCCCTTTTTCTTTCTCAGGGAAGAAACAATCAGTAAATTAAAAAAAAAATATAGGTAATCGAAGTAGGAACTGTACATAAGGATATGAATAGAGGATCTAAAAGTGTTTATATATTGGGTCATTGGGAAAGTCATGATGTATTTTTGCGAGAAAAATACAGAATATAGCAGGTGGTTTAATGGTTAAGACACTAGACTCCCATGTGGTTGACCAACATTCATGTCCGGACCCAGCGACTTGAAACTCATGTGCACATGCCCTGTGACAAAAAAAGGAAGAAAAATAAAAACATAGAAAAATACATCATGACTTTCCTGATGACTTAATAGCATGAAGTAAAAGTTTGAATATAATTGGATGAAGATGGCAGCACTATTAATGCTGGATAGGCTTGGGACCTGTAGTTGACCATGGTTTGAGTCCTGGACCCAGACGCTTAAAAATGCTAGGTGTGGGTGTGTGCATACCCAAGATCCTGAGAGGAGACTGGAAGAGAAGGCATTGTGGTGGCCAAACCCTCTGGGGGATGATATCTCGCATCCTGTCTCTCTGTGTCTTTCTGGCAAGCACACACACCCTATAGCAAAAATCTCTCCCTTAAAAAGAAAAATTAGATAGACTAGAGATGATTGATATTTGTGTAGTTGGAAGATGTTGACTATTAAAGAGTTGGATTTTAACATGAAAGATGATGTTCATATCTATCTGTAACATGGGGATTTTTTTTTTCTCTGTATTAGGCTATAGTCTACTCTGGTAAGCTTGTTAAAAGCTACTTGGATTTTGAAATATGAACTTCACTGGCTTTATCAGAGTATTCCTTAACAGAGGGTTGCCTCTTGTTTTTTTCTAAGTTTAAGAAAAACAGTATTTATTTCTTACTCCTGTTTGTAATATGCTGATATGAAGATGGATTTTTTTTAACATATATTATATTTCCTGCTTATCGGTTGTATTTATTACGGGTGATAACAAAGAACACTATTACCAGATTCCTGAATCCCTTAAAAACAACCCAGAGTAACACTTTCTTCTCTCTCTCTTAAGATGAAACATTAAGTGCTTTCATTCTCATGTCTTCAGTTTGAGACTACTACCATTTTTTTTTCCTGCAATTTTTTTTCGGGGGGGTGGGGGAGAGGTTTTTGCTATAGGGTGTGTGCCCTTGCCAGAAAGACAGAGACAGAAAGCGAGAAATCACCCCCCAGGAGGATGGCCACTCCGCAGTCCATTCTCCTCTTGGGATCTTGGAGCCCTGGGGGGATGGTCACGCCGCAATCCCTTCTCCTCCATTCTCCTCTCGGGATCTTGGGCACGCACACACATACGCCTGGCCTGAGTTTAAGCCACCGACCGGGTCCAGGACTTGAACCACAGTCGACTACATGGGAGTCCAGCAACATAGCCATTACCTCAACTGCTGGTCCCGAAGCTACCACCATTTTTAAATTGGAAGGAAGTATTAAACTGGAAGGAATCTTTAAGGTCTCACTTCTTTTTTTATTTTTTATTTTTTTTTTTTTAGAGATTTTTGCTATAGGACGCGTGCGTTCGCCAGACAGAGACAGAGAGACAGAAAATGAGAAATCACCACCCGGGGGGATGGCCGTGCCACAGTCCCTTCTCCATCCTCTTCTTGGGATCTTGAGCACGCACGCACATGCACCCAGCATGAGTTTTAAGCCACCGGGTCCAGGACGCAAACCGCAGTCGACCATATGGGAGTCCAGCGACATAGCCATTACGCTAACTGCTGGTCCCTCACTCCTTCATTTTTTAAAACTTTAAGCTCAGAGGGAATAAGTTTGCCAAGCTAGAATGTGACTGATACAAAATTTAGGTTCGTGGACTTAGAAGCCAACT